TAAACTCAAACCAATTCACACATAGCTAGTTTTAGGCCTAAATGCTATGCAAGAATATTCACACCTACTTTATCATTAAAAACATGTGCGTGCGTGATATCAATTAATTCAAGAAATTTATCAAACTAAATTTCCATCCCTACGAGCTATAGAACCTATAGAACCTAGCATGACCAAGAAATTACCGGACATCTTTGACAGATTTAGGGGTAGGGAGATTAGAAATTAATTCAACCTTTTTTTAATCAACCTCTATCCCATTTTTTGACACTATGTGACCCAACACAATACCCTAAGTCACCACAAAGTGACACTTCTCCCAATTAAGTGACAAACCTTTTTCTTCACATCTCACAAGCACCTTTTTAAGAATTTTCAAACATCATTTGAAAGAATCACTAAAAACTGAAAAATCGTCTGTAAAAACCTTGACGATTTTCTCTAAAATATCACTAAATATACCCATCATAAGGGCTAAAAAATTTTATTTCATGAAAATTTTGAAACGTCACTCACATCCAGACTCACGAGGCAGAGAATTTGTCCGTCCCGACCTTTTTTGAGTCTTTTCTCCTATCTTGGAACTGTAAATACCCCAATAACTTATTTTAGGATTCATATACATGTGTTTTTCAACCGCAAGAAGTCTAAAAAAGTTTGAGGAGAAGAAAATTAGGAAGAATGGAACAAAATGCGAAGGATTAACACACAAGGATTGCACCAAAACACGTAGAATCACACAATCTAGAGATTAAAGGTAGGGGTTCTTTTCCAAAGTCATTCATTGATGATTAGAGCTATATAATATAAAATTTTCATCCTTATTATGATACAAATAATAGATCTACAATGTTTTTACATTCGTTTGAATCTATGATTCGTTTATTGAATAAAATACATGATTTTACTTCGAGAATCTATCCATTCTTGATTTTAAAAAACATAGTTCTTGACTTCTATTTTATATATATGATAGGTCTACAAATTTTTTACATTATTTTTAAAATATGCTCAAATTATCGAATAAACACATGATTTATCACTAAATACATGTTTTACATCCAAAAAATCTTATGTCTTGATAAAACCTTAGAATTTTGAATATTGTGAATATGATGTTTTCTTTTTACGATCTCTAGCATGTTTTGCTTCAATTATTCTTCTACTTGAGAATTGTGGAACTATAAATTTTGATATACGTGTTTTTTGTGGAAAAAGTGTTATTATTATTTCTTATATTGGTGGTTGTGATGAACGCGAGTTACACTCGAATGCCTATCGTAGAATGTTAGAGGTTTTCTTACCTTGAGGGGTTTGGTGGTTGCCTAACTTGTTAGAGGTTTGGTTTCTTGTCAGAGCAAACTACTATTTGTCTATATAGGCTAGAGACTGGGGTATAGTATACTATTCTTGGGAAATGATATGTCAATGTTGATATGTCAATACACATCCTTCCTAAAGTGTTGTGGTACGAGGATTGATCCGAGATAATTTGTGTTTATGGGTAGATGAGATACGTTCGATGTGTAGATCCATGCTAGTCTATCTGCGTGCATAAGATATTATGTTATTAATTATGATTTTTTTGAGTGTTTCTATTCTATTATGAATTTTACTGTTTTTAACAATAAAATTGATACTGTTATTATTAAATTTCACTATTTTATCTCAAAACCATATATGTTATTATATAACTAGGACTTACTTGTTTTTATGATTTCTAAATCTTGTTTGGGTTCGAGAGGATTTTCCTACTTGACTTATTTACTCATCCCACGAAATAACATTTTTCAAATTTTGGACTCTAAAATGATATCACACTAAATGAGAAAGTTGATTTTAAGATTGAACTGGAACATAAAGTGGATCTAAATTTAGAGGCTTAAAGTTGCTTCTGTCTAGTTTGGTTTTAATGAAATTTGGTTATGAGACAATGTTATGTATATTTCTTATTTAGTTAGTTGAAAGAATATTGTTTTGGATTTTGAATGCAGACCTAAGGATTTTGTCATGCCCCGAATTTCACAAAAACGTGAGTTAAATAAAACATCATTTTTTATCCAAAGAGCATTTCGATTTTACACAAATTTTTTTTTGATTTTAATAAAGCACATTTGTTTTTGAAAATTCATCAGAGTTTTTTTTTTTTAAATCGGGTATTCCAAACATTGACAAGAGTGACCAGTGAGAATATTATATATAGTAAAATAAATCTAACTAACTATCTACATCATTCGAACCACAAACAACTAACTAAGATCCACGTCATTTATTCATCACAACATAATCCAATAGAAAGTCGGGGTGGCAAATGAAACCCCACGAAGTTCTCCCAAACCTAGTATTCCTACATAAGTTCCATCTACACAAATTTAACACTAAAGCCATAACTTTATATTACAATACCCAAAAGAATAACCTCTCATGAGGTAATTTAAGTTTACATCACAAGCTCATCAACAATATCCTTCAAATAAAAGTTTGTGTACAATCACATTTTTTATACAACGTTCTAAGAGTAAATAAAAAATAGTTTCCAAAAGGAGCCCCTCCTAGCCCAAAGCTCCCACAAGTCTTCTTCAACTAAGTCCCGAGATACAAAGCTAGTCTCTGAAAATGTTAATAGGAAATGTGCAACCACAACTCAATAGGATAATTATTTTTCCAAGCATATACAAGATTTTAAATGCTGCTAGTTCATAATCATAATAATAGATAATGAAATAATTCATCATTAAGTCTATATACACGATAAGTAATAAGTATTTTTGAAAGTACACTATGTACTATCATTTAAAATATATAAGTGAAACATTTAGAAATTTGCCATATCGAAACTAAATCTCAAGTTTACATTATAAAACCTTTCATCTTAAATCATAACGCAACACCATTGATTTTATAAAGCACAGAGTAAGAAATCTTTATGCAAGTATATAGATAATAAATGTGGTAAAGTCATCATTTCTTATTTTGAATAAAATTTTATAAACTTATTCTTTTCCGTGGTGTCAAGCTTACCCCACTCAAGAGGTTAATTGGAATATTGTTCTATTGGTTTCTTGGCACCCAAAATCCATGTATACTACCCATACAGACAAATATCATAAAACTAACACTAGTTCACGAATGAACTATTCCCAAGGAACCTTTTGGGTCTTTAAACCCTAGGGTCTCATTGCCCTTATTGCTTTTCAGAGGGGATGTGTAAAGCATAACTTGTGATATCATACATACTCTCACAAAAAATCACTAACATCACCAATCTCCCCTAGGACTAATAGCCATCTTGACAACCCCCTCAAAGACATCAAACTTTTAGTAACCATCTGCCTGTCGCTACCAAGCATACAAGTTTTAAACCAGAATTTTGTGATCACCTTCTATTCTAAAAACAAACCACAACTTTAGCACTTTTAAAAAAATATGTAGTTTTTCAAAATCTAGCATCTCTATTTCCAGCATTACACATTTTCAAAATAACTCAAACACACCAAAAATATAATCTATACCCTTTTATAGCAAAATTTGAATGTTAAAGGATTGAGAAGTTATGTACATTAACACCACCTTTTTATAACCCAAAATCATGGTAAATGTACTCAACTATATCAAAAGAATTAATACCTCTTTCACAATTCATCATTTCAATACTTATAATTACATTGACATTTTATCAAACATATGGTAGACATAAAATCTCCAAATAATCATTTACAAAGCAACATATCCATTCTTAAGAAATAAAGTCAATACATTATATACAAGATAATATATACTCTAAAGAACCTAAAATCTTAAGTTCAATCAAACACCCATAAAAAATTAAGTTAGGTTTTCAAACCCACAATATCCAAATTCATTTAATGCATGAAGGTTCCCAAATTCATGGTATATTCATCATTTATTTGGGATCCATAGTATGGAAACATGTATTTAGCTCATATTAAACAAGTAGATATAGAACATACATGACATGCATTAATATATATGTGAGAGAAAGAAAAACCCTACTTCAAAAGTCAAAAACCGAACTCCACCTTCAAATCTCCAAGTGAATCCAAGAATTCCAAGCAATATTCCTAGATTTCCAAGCAAAAGGCCAAGCTCTAATGACCTTCTTCTTCTCTCTTGTCTTTCCCTTTATGTTGTCCATGGGTTCTAAAAGTGGTATTGGGTGAGAATGGTAAGAATAATGGGTGAAATAAATTGAAATTATTGTTTTGCCCCTTAATATCTCTAATTTGATCCCCTATGAATACCCCTAAATTTTTCAACTTTTTGGATTTATTTTTATTTTTTTTAATCTAAACAAATTTAGTTTTATGATTTATCTCGAAATCAAAATCAATTTACACTCAAAATACAAAAATTATTGTTTTACCCATTCGAACCGCTATATGTGGTAAACGTGTATCCCAAAGCTTCTTAACTTTCAGAATTCAATGGTAATGTTATTTTGACCTTAAAAAATTAATAAAATTACTTAATTACCCTTATCAACCTTAAACGCTTTAAAAATTAAATTTGACCCAAAAGTTAATACACTAAAAACTTAAACTTTTGTGACTATTCATTCAACAGTGATTCAAAGTTTCTCTCATCATTTTAATTATTTTTAAAATAATAGCAAGTTAATATCATTTATATTTACATAAAATATGGGAACCAACATATTTATTTTGGTTTCTCTTGAAAATTTATCTAGTTAAACTTCGAATGTGGAATGATTTTTATTATTTAATGATTATTTTAGATATTCTCATGGTTGTATACTGTATAGATAGTGATGCCTTCTAGGGTAGATTTTGGGGACTTAGAGGAGTAATTACTAAGTGCCATTTTTCTCTAATGTTGTGAGCTCTTCGTGCATGGCGGAAACCCAATGTGGACTGTTCAGAGTTGTTTTGAGGGCTTTTGGCTTAGTCATTGTTGGAGGAAGTAAAGTAAGAAATGCGTGTTGTTGTCGAGCTTTCTGCTTAGTGATCATTGGATGAATATTACCTCCGGGTTGATGGTAAGATGTTGCTCACTAGGAGAGGATGGAGCACCAAGGGAAGCTGAACATAGAGACTTCTAGTTAATGGTTGATACGGACGGACACCTTTGGAAGTTGTGGCCTCTTTTGCATGAGTTGTTGTGTCATGGAGCTGCTGAGGTGTGGCAGTAATATTTTGAGCGGTCGTGGTAGAAATGATATTGGGCACAAGAGCATGATCCTCCACTGGTGAGCTGTCACCTAAAGTTACTAGAAGAGAAGAAGTTGCATCATGCCTAAGGGCATTAGACTATAGAGGTTGTTTTTGTGATTGGCTAAATGAAGGGCTCTAGAATTGTGTGACAACTTATTTCCGTTGGAACTTGGCAAAAAAACTAGAGGAGCTTGGTCTATGCACCTATCTAGTATGTGTGATGGTCGATTTAGAAGAAGAAATCTACATATGCTACGGACTAGTTGTGCTCTAAGATGTAGAGTGATTGACCCATTCAAAGAAGTCAAAATATGTAGAGGCAAATCCATTAGCCTATGATGGAGACATTAACAAATTAGAGAGTCAAGGCAACGTGATTTCATCAAATACCACATGACATGATAGAAAACACGCTTGGTAGGAGGGTGAAGGCAACAATATCCCTTGTGGATTGGGCTGTACCTAATGAAAATACATGCATAGGACTCAGGCTTGAATGTTTTTTTTTTTTTTTTGGAATAATCTCTCAAATAAGGAAAACATAGTCAAGCAAACACTTTCAATGAACTATAACTTGGTTGTCTACCATATAATTTAAAGAATGGAGTGTCCATTTTGAGTATGGAAGAAGGTAGGCAATTAATAAGAAATATTGCAGTGACAAATAATTCAATTCACATATTTTTTGATAAATGTGGATGAAATAACATGGTAAGACCTATCTCCACTAGATGTTGATGTTTGCTTTGTACTACTCTTTTTGCTCAGGTGTTCCTGGACAAGAGATACTTCTTTGTATCTCTTCTGCTGCTTTGATTTGATCTCTTATTGCTAGTATCCTCCCCGTTCCTTTGTCCTTTATCTTGAAACCATACGAACAAAATTCATAAAGGCATGAGTTATTTTTTGTCAATTGACAAACTGAGAGAAATTTTTTCTTTATCTCATGAACAACTAAAACTTCATCAATATCTATTTTACCATGTGAAGAATTCAATGTGGTGGTACCAACATAGGAAATTGATAGAGAAGAATCATCATCGACTATAACCTTATCATCCTTTTTATAAGCTCTTGGGATATAAAGATTATCTGCATTCAGTGTCATATGGGACGTGGATCTAATATCTAGATAACAATTTTGGATCTTGATTGTGGGAATCTATCGAGGTTGTGGGTGCAAGAACTTGTTGTAAGTTTCCTTCCACATCATAAGAATAGTCATAGTTGTACCAGCATTTTGTAGCAATGTGACCAATCTGATTACAAACCTCACATTGATGAGCATTATTCTATTGAAAGTGGGTCTAAGTATTGAGGTTTTTGCTTCCTTTACTTTGGAATGCTCCTTGATGTGCGTTGTTAGATCGATTTTCTTGTATGTGTACACTATTTCCATCTGTGTGGTTTGATGCAAAATGTTGAAATGATTGTTGATTACCTCGAGCTATTGAGTTTGCAGATTGATTGGTTGTGAATCCACGACCTTTAGGAGGGAAGTTGTTGTAATGCCCACGATTGAACAATTTTCCCTTGTCACCATTGGGTCGAGCAGTAAATGCAAAATTTGGATTGACATCCTTTTTTTTCATCTGTATTATTCATTTCATTTTGAAGATCAAAATTTTGTTAAGGCAGAGAGAAATTGATTAAAGGTGGGAAAAGGACGTTTGGAGAGCATGTTAGTGACAAAAACATCGTATTTTTTTCTAAGGTAGTGAGATAGTTGAACAGTTTTGTCTTTATCATAAACTGGTTTTTGAATGGCGGCAAGGCTATCACAAATTGCCTTATACTTCTTGAGATATCCATCCAAAGGTGTTATTTCTTTCTTGGGTACCCAGAGTTGATGCTTGAGTTGAAGTTTCCTTTCTTTTATGGCTTGTAGATAAATTTCTTCTGCACAGGAGATTTCTTACAACAGATTAAGATAGTGATCTTCTGTATGGTGAACCTGAAACAACTACAGGGTCAGAAAAAGAGCCGAGTGAACACCCGGCTTATTCCATTTGAAGCTCAAGTCAGTGTAAGATTGGAGGCCTGAGCGTAGTGTATATTTTATCTCAGTTTAGTCTGGCATACCTTTGTTCACTTTTCTGATTAGTATTTATACTTGGATTAGTAATGAGTGCAAAGGCCTTAAGTCCCCATCTGAACATTCAATGGCTGACACTCTTACCCATGTGCAATGAGTGTTTTCCACCCAAATCTTCACATATTTAATGCTAGGATGATAGGACAAGTGTTCGGGGACATGCCGAGCACTAACAGCTATTTCGGGCACTCAAGTTTTGTTGATCGGCTTCTGACACTTACTACTGAGTGTTCAATGCTCGGGGAACAGTATCTTGGGGTACACTGAAGAGGTATACTCGGCATAATAACCATTAATATCTAACCATCATGACTGTAGGCTTAGGCTTTGAGTATGCAGGGGCTCATTAATGGCATTGTCTCGGTCCTCACATCGTCATAAATAAGTGGTCAAGTCGTATTAAATGCGGGTGCTAGCTTGTGTACTCGGCTTCTCTGAGCCATTATCTCTCGGCTCCACTCCTCGGCTTCTTTTGAACTCCATAACAGCTACAATCTTACACGTGTCGATCTGGGGGTTGCTGAGCCGCCTAAAGTCCCGTCAACTCAGCCTCCGTTCTTTTTGTGGCATGGGACAGGTGGTGCACGGAGATTGGAAGATTGCCGAACACGCCTATTAAATAGGAGTGGTTACTTGCACATCTCGCACTGCCTTTTTCAAATTTTCTAATGACAACTTGTCTTTTTGATTCCTACCTCCTCCAATAGGATATAAATAGGAGGTGGTTGAGTAATTTTAGAACTTTTGCATTCTCGACTTTTCCTCAGCAATCAGCCCTCGAGCGTTCTCTTTCCATCTCCCAAGCACTCTTCTATAACCCTCCGAGCACTCCCTTTGAAGATTCTCCACCTGTAAGTACTTCCCTCCTTTCGAGTCTATTTCTCATTTCTTCTACATTTCTTCTAGATTTCTCCTTAGAACCCATCAATTACTAGAACCCGTAGAATGGTGGATGGGGCACCTGCTAGGGCTAGGGCAACCGTAAATTGAGAAAGACCGAGGTGAATGACGAAAATATTCAAGCCTTTAGGGTTAGATACCAAATCCTCGAGCCTGTCTTCACATTCCCCTTCAATCCTCTTTACCACACGAGGGACCTAGGAAGTGTGGATATGATGCCCTTCTAGACCAAAACCCTCATGCAAGGAGGGCTGACCTTTCCTCTTCATCCCCTACTGTTGAAAATACTAATGCAACTAAGTCTTTTCCCCCTTCAATGTGGTGTGAAATTCTTTAGGATAGTCATGGGCATAGTTGCCCTGAATGCTCGACTAGGGGTGAACTTGAGGGTAGATGAAATCATGTTCTGCTACGACTTGAGACTAGTCGTTGGGGGCAGGTACTACCTCCAGGCACGGGACACTTCCATGTACTTGGTGACCCACATGCCTAACTCGAAAAAGGGGTATGTGGATGATCTGATCATGCTCGACGGGAGTTGAAAAAAAGGAGACGAGCTCGAGTATGACGGATTGTTCTGCCCCAAAGTACCGAGGGATGAAGGTGTGTCTTGCACATATCCTAAAATTTATTTGGGACCTTGTCCTTATCATGTCTAACCTTGATTGTTTTTGCAGAGGAATATCGACGAGACGCTACTCAACCTTTAAGGTCCCAAGTCAGATTTGCAGACTTGTTGAGAGTCTGGTCCCATGACCCGACCGAGTGAGCGGCACACGCATTCCTTGGCTACGTGTAAACCTATAGTCACTTCTCCCAAATCCCACCGTTTGACCCATCACTTTGGGAGGATCACTCTTCGTCGGAGGAAGAAGAAGAATAAGAAAACCTTGACCGAGATTTTGAGCATACGACATCCCCTTCTGAGCATACTATCCCTGAAGACATGTTCAATCCACCACCCATTATTGCCGTAACCATGGAGATTGCCGCCGCAACAAGGAAAACCAGGCTCACGGGGCCTGTCGGACCTTCGAGTACTGCCCTTATCATCCCATCGTCGACTTCACCACGTAGACAACCACCTCCACCGCTGCCACATCCTCAACCGTCCAGGGACCCTGTTATCCCGCTGAGGCACCAGGCCCCAAGTCGCCAAGTCCCCTCCTCGAACGATCGACAAAGGGACCGACGAGGCTGGGAGCCCAAGGGGCTCCAAAGAGCATCGGGTGAAGCGCTCACATGATGCCTCAGGCCTAACCACCTCTTCTGAATGGGCTCCCCAAGTAGCGAACAGAAGGGGCTGTCTTATGTTGGAGGCTGATTCCATTCTTTAGTCCCCCGATGTTGCGTTTGTCGTCGCTGGGACTTTCCAGTTTGAGGTCGACATGGCTGTTTACCAAGGCTATGGGGACAACAGGCTTTTTCAAAGAGTTGTCCAAAGCAACATGGTGGTAAGTGTGCCGTTTGTCTTAACTTCTTTTTGCTTTGCGTACTTAGCCATTCCTGACTTAAGTTTTTTTTATATATTCTCAGGTCTGCCAGTAGATGGGGGATATTATTGAGCCTTATTGAGAGTACAAGAAAGCGATGAAGAACGTCAAGAGGATCCTGACTACCAAGGATGAGCACATCCGCATGGTGGAGAGGACGCTCGCTGACCAGATTCAGCACATCACCAAGCTCATCCGCCAGTGCGACGCCCCTATTGCTGACATAGAGAAGACAAAAGCGGGCAAGGCCACGGCCACCAAGAAGGTGGAGGAGTATGAGCTATAGGTTTTTGCTGCCGAGGTCAAGTTGCAGGACTCTAAGTCCATTATCAATGAGCTGACGATCAAAGTTGATTCCTTGACCACGGAAAAGGCAGGAGAGCAGGAGAGGCTGTAGCAGGAGTGTCAGAGTGTGTGGCTGGCCACCCAAGTTCAAATGACCCCTGCCTTTGAGGAAGGCAAGAAAAAGGCTTACAAGAGAGGTTAGGACGCCGCTCTGTACGCTGCCCATGTTGACACATGCTCAGACTTATTCCGAATGCATAGCGTCCTTGGGAAG